TTCGCAAAACTCAAAACAACTTATTTACGGTGTTTTGAACTGTGTAGAAGGAAGACGTCTAAAATTAATACCTCTTTATATTCTTTAAAATTACTATTCATCGAATATTATACGAGGGTGGTTTATTAAGTACGATCCCGGATTAAACATTGAAACATTGTGCGAGATACGAAAGGAGGAAGAACTTTTTTGTTCTAGAATTATTTTAAACATGAAATCTGCTTCAATATAGCATAATACGTAATCGGGGGTTAATACAGAAGTTCAGATTTAGCCGGTAATTTAACAAAAATTAATCTGACAAAATCAGGAGAGCGTAGTTTTATTTAAATTTGGCACTGCACTGGAGTGGTGAGAGGGATTATAATTTTTTATTCTTGGTATCTAGCTGAAATTTTCGTCTACTCTTTTGTATTTTCAGGTGTATAATATTCAATCTCGCTAATTATTCCAGCTTCGCAGATATTTTCGAACCTCGGCGTTCTGAATAATTACTTTCACATATAAAACAAATATAAATCATTACCATGGTAACGTAATCTATTCGCTTTTTTATCCACTTTCAGTTATACTCCTTCTTTTGGCCTACAGTAAGCTACGATTTTTGTGTAAACAAATGGTGTTTTTTCTTTTGTTTGTTTTTATATGCGAGTAGAATTGTTACTTTCAAAAATTGTAACGTAGTCATAGGGAAAGACCCAGTACAAAAATTTAATTACCAACATCTTTTTTGTTTAAAATTTTAAAAGAATCTCAAAAGGGGTGGTTTATTTTTACAAAAATAAAAAAAAAATAATTTTCAATTTATTCTCTCTTTCTTGCTCGCTCCTCTGCTTATTCCTTGTCTTTCAAAATTTTTGATTTTTTTTTTTTTTGACAAAATTAGAGGAATATAAAAAATTATTTTGTAATTTTTACAAAGAAAAAATATTTTCGTGCAAAATAAATTAGAATAGCTGTTAGAAAAATTTGTATGAGTTATGTCACCGGTGTGTGCAGCAGTTTTTCAAATTTTTTTGTCGATGATATAAACAAAAACGATATTTTACAAAAAAATATAATGTTCTGGACTTTCAAAAAAGTTGCAAATCTGATATAATAATATATTGCCTTAAGTTTGCAGCACTTTTGCAGTTTTTTTTAAGAAAGATAATAAATTTTAATTTTTTGCAATTATTAATATGTTCCGGATCTCAGAAAAAGTTAAATTTACAATTATTTTAATTTAATAAATATTCCAACAAAGTTTAAAAACTTTTGTAATTAATGTGAATTGATTATATCTAATGACTGGCCTATTAAAAGAGTTAAAAGAGTGAATGGAACTTGAATATTCGAACTTACCTCTTTACTGTACTCTGACGGTAAGCCATCTCTATCTTCCAGACATTCTCATTTGTAACGACACAATAGCATAGAAGTAATTTTTCTTAGTGAATGAATGACCATAACCACCAAAATTAATCCGAATTATGTTTTCCTTGTTATCATTCCTCGTGCAATGTCGCAGAACGGCGAAAGAAAAATACGTTCGCAACCTGCATGACCACAACAAATAGGGAAAAATAAGGAAAGGTCGTGCTCGGATGTACCCTTTAAGCTTCCAACGAAGTGAAATGTGTTTCTCTATCGGAAAAACCTACATCGAATCTAATAGGGGCGATCGGCACTGCTACGACTCTACACTGCTATTAGTATTGAAATTAAAATGTTATTTAGTGAACTACAGATGAGAAAGTAATAATTGATTCCTTTTTCTACGACTTTGGTGTTATTTGCATAATTATCGTTTATTTTATTGATTATTATAAACTGGGCAACCGGTTTCGGTATACATATAAGTCATCATCATGCGTAAAAGAAGATAAAAAGTTTTACAAAATATTGAATGATCAAACAAACTTACCTGAAGTGAAGTTCGATCTCAATTATATGAAACGCCTTGTTCGATATGATCATAGGTAGTACCCCTCTTTTCCCGCTCTGTGGCCACGTATTTTAAAGTCTAAATACCCACGAAAGTATTTAGAAAGTTCCAAAATCACAACTTCCAGTCCTTCCCATCTCTGCTCTCGTCCCGTGGTACTCAGATACACTCTTACGTCATCCTTTTAAAGCAAAAATTGTGTTTTAATCTTGTAGGGATGATCTTGAATATATAGGTGTATGGGTTGGTTCGATCATCTCGAACAAGTCGTTTCATATAATTGAGATCGAACTAAGTTATATGGCCAAACTATTTTTATGGTAAAGTATATTCCACCGTCTGTAATTTAACGAGGTTTTACTAGGAAAAAGTTAAGTAGATTCTTCTGGCGATTTTTGTTTTCTTTGCTGAACAGATATAAATAAAGCACACTTGCTATCTCACTACCGGTAGAGGTGTAAGTATTATGCGTCCAATTACGGCAGGCAGATACTACTCTTTTTTATAAATACATGGTATCAAGCCGCTAAATATTTTTCATTGATGATATCCATCTTTTTTGCATAACTAAAAACTTTCTGTAAGTTTCTAAATAAACCAGAGGTTCTAGATAGAAACTTTTTTTTTATAAAACAAAATCAATGTTTATAAATTTAAGTGCAAAATATTAACCAAATCAAAAGTGAATTTGGAAAACAATAACTGCAGAATTTATTGCAACTTCACTAGAAAATAATCCAAGCAAATGTTTTCTTGGGAGACACATGAAAATAAAAGAAGTTATGAGTCATAAGAGCTGATATCAGTTCAAGACGAAAAGAGGTTGCTTTCATCAACGAAATCGTCTAAACCAATGCTTCTCAACCTTTTTTCCTCGCGGCCCCTGATCAGCTTTGCATAAAGTTGGCGGTCCTATTGACATAAAACAATAAAAGAAGATTATATCAGGGAAGTTTTATTTTTTAAAGAACAAGTGTTAATTATAATAATTTTTGTAAAATTAATGTGATCCTTGAGCTTGCATTTCTCGTACAAGCTTGTCTATATTAGGTTTAGTTTTGGATAATTTCAGCCTTACTTCTTCTTCAACGTTTTTCAAACTATTTCTATATTTATTTTTTATATACATTAATGCATACAATGCAGTTTTGCATAAGTATGTAGTAGAAAATGGGATCAAAAAATTCAAGGCTTTGTTTGACAGTTCCGGATATGAATCTTTCATAAATACCCAAAAATCTTGGAATTTACTTTTTAAATCACTATCAGTTGACAGTTCTATGAACTGTTCTTTTTCTAGTGCTGTCAGACCTTCATTTTCTGATGTAATTGCAATCGAGTATGGATTTCTAATCCATTCATTGTTAACTGTTGACAGCGGAAAATACTCACGAAATGTGATTTTTAATGCGTCCAGGTGCTGCAAAAAGAGTGATTTATCTCTTCATTTTCTTCTAAAAATTCTTTTAATTTGAGAAAAGAAAATTATTTTTTCTAACATGGTGCAGCCACAAATCCAATTTTTTTATCATTGCTTCAATCTTATCTTCGACTTGAACCTTTGAAATTCCATTTCCTTGTAAATTAAGGTTTAGTAAATTCAAGTAGTTGATTATGTCTGCTAAATAGGCTAATCTGGTTAGCCAACTACTATCGTTGAAACGGTCTGCGAAATGGAAATTTTTCTCACTGAGAAATAATTGGACTTCGTCCTTTAGTTGAAACAATCTGCTCATAACTTTTCCTCGTGACAACCAACGAACTTCTGCGTGCAGTAAGAGTTGATGATAATCACTTTTTATTTCTGTACATAATTTTTCAAAGAGTCTTGAATTTAATGCTCTGCTTTTTATAAAATTAGCCACTTTAATGGAATCATCCAATGTTGCTTTTAGTTGATCAGAAATCTTCTTCGCAACGAGAGTTTCTTTGTGAATGACACAGTGAAACCAAGGAATCGAGGGCATAATTCCCTTTACACGTGCTGAAAGTCGTTTCAATTTTCCATACATGGCCCGAGCTCCATCAGTAGTTAGACCCACACATTTGGACCAGTTTATATTATGTGATATTATAAACTGATTTAAGCAGTTGAAAACATTTTCAGCAGTTGTATGTGGTAATAGCAAACATAAACAACAGATCTTCAAAAACAGATTTGTCATAGATGTAACGAACGTAACACAGCAATTGTGCTTGATTTTGAATACCAGTAGATTCGTCCAACTGCAGAGAAAAATGAGAAGATGAACGAACTCTGTGAATCAGAACTTCTTTTATATCATTTGCCATTGCATGTATACGCCTTTTAACCGTATCATTCGATAAAAGGATGCTTTCAAGTTCTTTGGCAGCTTTATCGCTAATTAAGGTTGAAACCATTATTTTTGCAGCTGGTAACAGAAATTCCTCTTCTATAGTATGAGCCTTTCCACATTTAGCAATTAATTCTGAAACTTGAAATAAAGCTCTTAACGCATTTTCTTTTATACCAGCATCAGCTACCATATTCTTAGATTGTTTGTGTAATTTGAAGATGTTTTTGTTTCAGTATAAAAAAAATCAATTGGTTTATTTATGTGTTCTTTATGTTTCATTTCCAAATGGCGCCTCAATGTTGATGGTTTCAAAGCTTCATTTGATAGTACCTCAAAACAGATTACACGTTGGGGTTTTAGATTATTGACTGACCCAATAACTAAACTATAGTTTAAAACACAATAGTTTAACAAAATAATTCTGCAATATAAAAAATATATTTCATATTTAAAAATATGAATACCCCACTTATCCCCTATACGTATGACAGTACGGATAATGGAAAAATAAGTGAATGAGCTCGCGAAAAATCTTTATAAATGAGGCTGTAGGTAGCGTCTGCGAAAAGGATTATATCTGGATTTATTCGAATTCCTGAAAACTGCAACACTGGCTTCTTTATAATCCTTTTTAATAATAAAGTATCATTACATTGTAACAATGTAACAATTTTTATATTTTCATTTAGAGGAAACGGTTTTGAAATTGATGTTTATGCTGGGTTTTTTTTTAACAAAAATGTCATCTTAGTAGATCTTTATATTTTTTTATTTGAGTATAATTATCAGTGATGTAATTAATAATAATATTAAGTAACAATTACAATAATACTGTGTAGACTCTCCATTAGTCCGGTACGGACCAATTTTTGCTGCATAGGCAACCACATAAGCTACATAGGTTTGCTCGTGGACTGCATTGAAAAGATGCGCCATTGGACCTACAAAAAGTATAAAATTTTAATTTTACCAGAAGCATGATGGTTTTACGTTAAGATAAGTTCATGAAATAAAATATTTATATATACAGTTACACTTTGAAAATAATAATAAAAAACATTTAGGAACATAACAAACACAATAAGTATTCTAAGTTTTATTTTTCTATTTAAAAATGGCCTTGAAATTGCCAATTAGCCAGACTAGTTTATATTTTTTGGATGCAATATTTGAAGTATTAATATTTGAAAAAGGAAATAATTTCAAACTCAATCCGCTATTAATGTGTTCGAGTGAATTTCGTATTGCCATCACACTCCATTAGAGACTGGAATCGAGATTTTTATTTTTTGCTGAAGAGTCCTAATAAGAACGAAACAGGTCCAAGAATGACTTCCTCCATGGTAAGAAAATTGAAAGGTAGACTGTTGAAAATATTTATTTTCTATATCTACTTTTTGACGTAATTCAATACCTGAAAGTATTAGCCAAAGGAGTAGCTGTTGTCAAAAGAGAAATTTCCGCCCATATTATTGTGGCACATGGCTTTGAGATTATTTTATTAATATTAATATTTAGCCCCCCATTTTGTTAACAATTTTTTTATAATTAATAAGCTTTATTCCCTTATAGAGTTTGATTTTTGCTTAATATTTCAAGTTGATATTATTTTTTGTATTTGGATTTTTTAAATAATTCAACCCCCCGTAATCTCCCATTTTTATTCAGATTTTTCAGAATCAATACGCTTCATCTTATAGAGCTTGATTTGTACTATAAAATTTCATAAATAATGTTGTTTATTATAGTTCTATTTATATTAATAAATAATCTTTCCAAATACCATGCGTAGTTAATTTTATTAAGAACATTTAGTTGTTTTTTTTACAAATTTTGAAAATTTCATTTAACAAAATCGTTCCGAAATACCATTCGCCATTATCTCTTTGAACTTTTAATCCAAAAGTAGTAAACTTAGATCGTTTCATATCACACTTACTAGCAAGTAGATACTTAGATTTACTTGTATTTAAATTTCCAAACGAAAATTCGCCCTTTAGCAATTTTGGATCGTCTCTGTGGCGAATGACGTTTACATATAGCCGGAGTTTCCGAACCAACTTCTTGGAGGAGTTGAGAGTTTAGACGGGCACAATTAATTTTCGGTAATTTCCAAATTATCTTGAAATTCAACTTCCCCTCTACGAGCTTGATTAACACAACTATTTGTACGGAAGGTATTTCTGGAAAGGTATTTCTTAATTGTTACGGGCCTCAATATATAAGGATCAGAAGGTTTAAAGACCCCACTGACACTGTAGGAAAGACTTGAAATAAAATTAATTTAAGGAATGGAATCTTTAAAAGGGGTTGTTTGAATTTAACCGATCGACTGACATTACGTAGAGATTTAAGTAAATTTTTGGAATTATACAATTTTGCTTGAGAAATGTTGATTAAGCCGCTAACAAAATTATCTGCGTTGTCAACAGGAAAATTTGTAAGCTTCACAGAGAGAAATTAAGTGAAAAATAAGATTTTCCTGCATGCTATAAATCTCACGAGGAAGACATATTTCCTTCAGAGTGGAAAAAAGCATATATATAATCCCTATTTTCAAGTCAGGCAACAGTCAGCTCGTTGAAAACTTTAGACCCATATCAAAGCTGCCTGTCATCACGAAAGTATTTGAATCTATTATATTTAATTACTTATATTATGATGTAAAAAATACCCTTAATAATGAGGAACATGGTTTTATTGAAAAAAAGTCTGTCGATAGTAATCTTTTTGGTTACACAGAATATATTTTAAAAGTTTTCAATAACCCAATACAAGTGGACGCCGTTTACACGAACTTTAGCAAAGCTTTCGATAAGATCGATCATAGAATTTTCATCTACAAGCTTGATGAGGTCGGTGTAAATGGTATGCTACTTATATGGTTTTAGTCATACGTAACAAATAGATGACAAGCTGCAAATATTGGAAATGTCTCATCAAATTTTCATAAAATACCATCAGGGGTCCCTCAGGGCTCACACCTACTTTTTAATATATTCATAAATTATATAAAAAAATGTTTTTAATGTACACGGATAACCTTAAAATATTTTACGGCATTTCTAACGTAAATCATCACATTTTATTTCAAAATGATATGAACTCTTTTTACAATTATTGTATCGAAAATAGTCTTTTCTTAAACACTGACAAATTCCATGAAATAACTTTCACTCGAAATAGAAATGTATATAGTCATGATTATAGGTTAGGGAATAATCAATTAAATAGAGTGTCGGAGGTAAAAGACCTAGGAATAATGTTCGACTCGAAACTTCTTTTTGATCAACACATACATCATATTTCTAAAAAAGCAAATAAAATGCTAGGTTTCCTTATTAAAACATGCCATGATTTCAAAAATCCCCATATCATGCACACTTTGTATATGTCTTATGTAAATAGTATTTTGATGTTTTGGTTCTATCATATGGAATCCTCAATATGATATATTTGAACTAGAATCAATACAAAATAAATTTATTAAACTTACTAACAAAAAACGTCATTACAATCACGACAGCAATAACATGTTCGTACTACTTATTGTTAATAAATAAATTATTCTCAGCTTCACCTACTAAGTACTAAAATATTTATATTTACCTTTAGCAAAGACCAAAACATCCGCGCCACTGTGAGTAACTTCGTCATTCAGTACCACAGCTTGTTGCGAGTACTCCCATTCGGTGGTATCGTTCTTTGTTGGATCCGGACGAACTACTGTTTCATTTTCTACACCGAATTGATAATTATTTGGTCCACCCGTCCCATAAAGTAACGATGTAAAGGGTATTTTGTCCATTGCCGATAAAGTAGATGCTGAAAATTATGTGTGAAATAAAACTAAATAAAAAGTAGATTATTCTTACACAGAACACCTTGTCCTCTATCTGGATACCCAGTGAGCAACAGCGAATGAGAATGATCGCTGGTGATAATGACCAAAGTATCGTTGAAATTGATTAGTTCTAAGGTTTTCTGTATTGCATCGCTAAAGCTGATTACTTCCTCCAGAGCTTTTCTCGCGTGACCGCGATGATGAGCTTGATCTACCAAACCGCCTTCTACCTGAAAATAAAAAATAATAACGATAAAATATTGTTGGAAACACATCGAACATATTCAGCTAATATCTGAAAGCCAACCCTACCTCCTAAATTAACTTTAAAATGAACCAAGCTCATCAATCGCAATATATCCATCTCTCTTGGAAATCGCAATCAGTGCACATGCAGTTATAGTGGAAAATGTGGATGTAATTTTAAATATGAGGTCAAAATCTTAACTTGTCAAATGGATTATTTTTTATTGAGTATACACAAGTTATAAAAGTAATTAAAAGAAACTCTTCAAAAATAAAGAGTTTGATGATTTTCTCATTATATTTTGACCAAATTTATATGGGATCACCCTTGAAGTATCCAATTTCTAACAAAAAAGAATCGTAGAAGGTCGAACAAAGTGGTAAAGAATTATCGTTGAACATTCATAAAAAAAATATTTCGACGAATTCAGTACCTCCTCCTTTTTTTTTTTGAAGTCTGTTAAAAATACAATCTCAAGTTTTTCGATACCCTACTAAGCAAACAGAAATTAAAATGAATGAGACGCACTTATTTTCAATTATTATCTCAAGGTTTTTACCCGAATTGATTTCATCGAAAATAAAAGTTTTCCGTTTTCCATTTTCCATTTTCTCTGGGTTTAATGAAGGCCGCCTTTTCTTTAATTTTCCGTTCTCTGCAGCCCATTCTTTGCGTACGTACTTTTTCGATCGATGTAAATTAAACTCGTCGTTTTTCAGATACATGCTAATACCTATCATTCTGGAAAAGTTTTATTACTTCCGTGAAGTAGTTTTGCATTTTTCCACCATTGTTACGTATTATTAAGTCTGATTGGAATTTTAGTAAATAGTAAAGAAACCCTTTGCAAAATGTTGGCTAAATTTTCATGAAAACGTCGACATATTGAACAAAGTTGACGTTTTCCGCGAATATGAAGACTAGAGAGGAGGCGAATCGGCAATGGTCAAATTTCAAATTTCAATCCTTCTTCAAATTTTGTTTCATCAAGTAGGTTTTAAATGTATTTCAACATTAAAATTTGATTTTTCTCCAAAAAGGTCGACTTTAGAGCGTATGACCAGGAGTACCTTTTTTGTGTTCAAATGGCCGTCTCAAAACCGTACTTTTTCCAGTGGCGTAAATTGTTTTTTCAATTTCAACACCCTGGATCTCGAAAATGGTGCATTTTAGAGGGTAAGTTAATAGAAACGTTTTTTCATATTTTTGGACGAGCTATCACGTCCTGAAGTCCTGCGCATATATTATGAAACACCCTGTATATACCGTTTCTCCTGCCGATAAAGCACTTTCTAGAGATGATACTATTCTATACTTTTTAGAAGATATTATCAAATATTATGAGACTATTTGTACTGATGATACTTTTAGCAAAATAAAAAGGGAGAAATCTGAAATTACAGGATGAGGTAATACCATGTACATTCCCAAATCTCCCTTTATACTTGTATTACAACAATAAAAATCTGTTCACTGTGTTTTATTTTGCTCTTAAAAACTATAGATTAGTTCAATTCAAAAAAAAAAAATTCCACAAAATTTTACTTTTCGAATTTGGTCATACGTATCTAATTTGTATTTTATATAGATAAAATTAAATAATTTATCAATTAAAACATGCAAGACTTATTTAGAAATAAATACAACAGTATGTTCTGTGCTTTATTTAGGTATAAACAAGTTTATTTTTATTATTTTGACAAAATTATGTATAATTCCCATAAGAAGCCATGTATTTTAAACAGCGTATGCAGTACCAGCGCCCATGCGGTTAATTATAAAAGCTCAATTAGCATGCCTTTTTTGGGACCGTATTTTGAGTATGCCGATTCGTCTCCTTATCTCTAGTCTTTATAGTAGAGCATGAAGTATACTGTCAAGCGAAATAAGGTTAGGATAATTTTTGTTATAATTAAAGTATGGAGGGTAGAAAAAGGAGGACAATCTTATGTGGATCTTTATATTAAAAAGTGGCCACCAAAATGTATGCAATTAAGATGGCGCTTGTGTAGCCAGGGGACAAAATCCAATGCTATATAGTCATATAGATTGCTCATTCATAAGAATTATTTATTGTTTATATTATTATTTTTCAATAAAATTTGACTATTGTCGTGTATTGTCAAAATTTATCTACGATCACAGAACACTTACTCTTCTACGATCAGTCACTTTTCACGGTGTAGTTTTTAGTTTTTTATGGTTGAGCAATATTTATTACTATATACATCATTGGTGTCATTGTGTGATCTGAATCATCGACTGTCGACGTCCCCTGGGCACAGAAGCGCCATCTTAATTGTATACATTTTGAGGGACACTTTTTGTATACAGAGATTGTTCTCCTTTCCTCTACCCTCCATAAATTAAAGTTAAAAAATGTCTTCGAAATTTTATTCTGAAGAGGATGAAATATTAATTGATATGGTAAAGGAACATCCCGCACTTTATCAAGTGAAAAGCAGAAGTTTCACAGACAATATAGTCATTACCACTAACAATTCGTCTTCGTTTTATTTTAATTTTATTATTTTATTCTAAGAAGCTCTCTGGACGACTAGTTGATTCAGTTTGCACTGCTTGATGTAGTCATAACTAAATTATTGCGCAATATTGCAAGAACCCAATATCTTGTTTCGGATTGATTTAAAATGTCGAGTAAAAAATGTAAACAAAGTTCTGATCGTTTTTGTTATGTTTGTGGACAGTTAATATTTAAAAAAAAAAAAGAAAACACGTTGTAGATTCATTAAAAACTGCATTATTATTTTGGATTTCCTGTTGGAAACCAAGATAAAAAGTGGATCCTCATAAGTTTTGCGAAAGCTGTAAAATCGTCTTACCCCAATGGTCGGTCATCAATAGAAAACGTACACCTTCCATTTGGTTCACCAATGCTATGGAGAGAACCTAGTAATCATGAAAATGATTGTTTTTGTGATACGAAGACATTGGGATATAATAAAAAAAATAATGCGAGTATTATATATGCCGAAGTTCTGTTTGTTACTAAGCCCATTTTGCATTCGAAAGATCTACCACATCCAGTTTGTTCCGGCAATTCGAATGATGTTGAATTCAAATCGATTTCTAGTGATTCTGACGAGTTGTCTCTTCAAGGAAACACTCCATATTTAATTAAACAAGTGGAATTAAATGATCTTATAAGAGATTTACAATTACAAAGATCTAAAGTAAAGCTTCTTGGTTCCCGCTTACAACAATGTAACTTATTAACACCAGACACAAAAGTTAAGTTTTTCAGAAACAGAAGCAAAGTTTACTTAAAATTCTTCAAACGAAATGGTGAATATTGTTATTGTACAGATATCCCGGGGATTTTTGAAGCAATGTATCAAAACTATGATAAAACAGAGTGACGCTTATTCATATACTCTTAATTTTATTACACAACGGAAATAAAAAAACCGTCTATACCACTAGGACACGCAGTAAATTGCAAACAGAGCTATGAAACGATGTGTACTTTAATTAATTTAATAAAGTATAAAGAATACCAATGGAAAGTGTGCGGTAACCTCAAGGTCATCGGTTTGTTATTGAGATTGCAGGGTGGTTACACAAAATACTCTTGTTTCATTTGTGGGACAGTAGAACAAAACATCATTATGTATAAAAAAAAATGGCCTATTCGGAATGAGTACATTCCGGGCAAAATGAACGTTAAACACGAGCTGTTGGTAGATCCAAATAACATCACTCTACCCCCTTTACACATTAAATTGACAAAAACAGTGATGCTTTCCAGTATTTACAAAAAATCTTTCCAAGCATTACAGAAGCAAAACTGAAAGAGGGTATATTTGTTGACCCACAGATTCGTAAAATTATGAAAGATTTTCAGTTTGAAAGCCTTTTATCTGTTAAAGAAAAATCTGCTTGGAAGTCATTCAAAATGGTTGTGGAAAATTTTGTGGGAAATAAAAAAAGTGAAAATTACAAAGAAATTATTACCAATTTATTGGAAAATTTTTAACAGATGGGAGTAGACGTCATTAAACATTCATTTTTTGCTCTCGCATCTGAGTTCTTTCCCTAAAAACTTAGGAAGTATGAGTGACGAACTAGGGGAACGTTTCCACCAAGATTTAAGGTTTTTGAAGAACGACAAAGGTTTTTGGGATAAAAACATGTTAGGGGATTACTGTTGGTCCATTATAAGTGAAACTGATTCAAATAAACATAAAAAGAAGCCAAAAATTAATCATTTTTTTTTTAGTATTAATATCAAAATTATATAATTCAGTTAAGTAAATAACTATTTCTTAAACCAGAGGTGACAGAATTTTTTTCATTATTTTTTCTGAATAAATTAACAACTTTCAGCTGGAGTATGAAAACCGTGTAAACTAGTGTAATTGTTTCTGTTTGTTTTTTTAATTATGTGTATAATTTTTTTTGGTCACACTGTATAATAGATTGCGATGTTGCTCTTCGAGCACGTCGTTAACAACAATATCTAAATATACTCACTTATTACACACTGTGTTCCAAAAAGTTTTATACACATTTTGTTTTTAAAGTTATGAACTCCTAAGTGATGCAGAATTTTTATCAAGAGAGTATAAAACGTTTTGGAACACAGTATGTAATGGATTGCGGCGTACTCTTCGAGCACGTCGTTAATAAGAAAGTATATTTAGATATTGTCGTTAACGATATTATAAAGTTTTATACAGATGAGAAATAGTATTTTGCTTTTTTTGAAAAAATGATGTGTAATTAAGAAAGGTTGAAGGTACAACAATTTTATAAATTGCAATTAGCAAAAAAAAAATCTGCAAGACTCTACTTATTAAGTAGTATATTACATTATGAGTGTGGAAAATCACTTTTCACACAAGTGATGTACAATATTTTTCCTACGACCACAAAATAATTTCATCAAAAAATGTAAAACCAAGATATTATTATAATAATTAAAATGTATTTAAAAAAATAATCAACAATAATTGTATTTATTCAATTTTCATATTTTTCGAAACAAAAATAAAAAAAAAACAAAAAAAGCAAAAAAAACAAAAATCTGCAACCATCAAGTTTTGAACGCGGGCCCGCGGACCCGTCGAGTAAGCCAAAGTTCAAATTGCAACTACCCTACAACCTGAGTTAATAGGTCTTATGTCAAATGCATTTTTAATTCGATTTTAAGTTTAAACAAAATAAAAAGCCAAAATAATGAATTGTATGTAGTTATTTTAAAATTATTTTAAAAATTGTTAAAAATAAATATCTAGAATCTAAGTTAATCGTCAATTTATTACATAAATCAAAATAGAAATGATGCGTTTGACATTATGTGACAGCTGATGCGAAAAACGTCACATTTTCGGAGGGTGCAGCTCGAGAACATCAGAGAATTTTTTTTGACGCACTGTTTTTTATATATAAGCGAGAAACCCAAAAGAATTACTTTCTTTGTGCCTCCTTCCGTCTGGCTCACTTCCTATCTAGTTGTCAGGACTTTTAGTATGTTCACTCCTTAATAACCTATAATGTCGTCGCCAAGTTATAATGTATTTAGGTTCCGGTTCAATAACAACACGCATTCGTTTGTTACTATTTATTTCGAACAGGAAACGTATATTTTAAATCCCGGGTACAAGTGGTACAACGGCAGGACGAAACCGTTACCATACGAAAAGTATAAGATGGACTGCGCGCGCCACCACTTGGTGTCGCAGGATTGGAACTGTGACGTATACCCAGTGATACCAACTTTGTTGGATTGTTAAGCCCTGGTTATACTACAGAACCCTAAACAAGTTTCTGAACAAATCACTTAGGTGCCTACTCACGCACTCTGCACCCCCGTTTGGGCCATTCGTTGATCGGACTATACACAGTAGTTTTACATTTAATTGTAAATGTGCTAACTAATTCATTTTTATTAATAGTTTTACGTTTAAATAACTCAATATGATATTAGTTTTTCAATTTTTTTGCAGGTTTAAGTGCCAGAAAGAAAAATTAAAAATTGTGCAGGTAAGCAGACAACATATTAAATAGGAAACTAATTTTAAAACAATTATTTAGGAAAAAACGTAAATAAAATTCTCATAATCAGTACCACACAAATTTAGTTTAAATTAAAAACTACTTGTTAACTGGGTAATGTTAACACAGGCAATCGATTTCAGACCTACAATAGAAGGAAAAAAACATGGTTCATATCAAAATAACAGTGAAACATAGTGAGTAACATACCTTAAATGAAAATTCATAATCATATAAGCAGATGATCATCCACATGTAGACGAGGTTTATATTATAATAAATAAAATGAATTTAAAAAAACAATAATAATCGCATTTATTCAATTTTCATATTTTCTAAACAAAATAAGAACTAAAAAACAAAAAAAAAATTCTGTCCCCGCAAGGATTTGAACGCGGTCGCTCGCCAGGTCTCAAATGGCAAAGTTGATAAAGTTTGATAGTCTACCACCTGAGCTAATAGGCCTTGCGTCAATTGAATGATCTAATCGGTTATGTATTTAACCAGAATAAAAAGCAAACATAACATAGATCAAAATAGAAATGATGCGTTTGACATTTTGTGACAACTGATGCGGAAAGTAGCATATTCGCACACGGGTGGAAAGTAAATTTTTATTCATACGCGTGTGATATAGGGCACTTTTCATAGGACTATATAGTGTGATATGTGTCACTTTCCTAAGTGGTCGTAGGAAAAAATATTTATCTTACCCTCTGCTTTAGATTAACAGGAACGTTTTCATCATAATTTTTTAAAAATAACAGAAATTAAATATCAAAGAATACATAGAAGCGCGACTCTCTACATTTGACCAAAATTCACGTGCTTACAAAATCGCAGCCTAAATTTTGCAAACGCTTTCGCACAGCGGCTGTTCTTGTTGGAATTTTGGGACCTTTCCAACTACAAAACTGATGAATGTATAAAAGCAACGCCGATATAGTAATTTTCAACCCCATCAGCCACCCTAAATGCAAAGGATGATAGTCGGCAGCCGGGTATAGAAAATTAAATTTAATTATTATCTATCGATCGGATAATTTTTTTTTCAAAAAAGCGATGTGTGAAAGGTCACACATTAATTCGCAAAAACAGGGTCGGAGTTTTAGTATTTGAATTATTAATTAAATTATTATTAGTAATTGAATTAATAATTATTATTATTAGATAATTAATTAATTAATTGTTAATTGATTCATTAGTTTGGTACTCAGGGTTGGGCTCGCCTAATATGCTAATTAAATATGTTGAATGCATATCCAACAATTCCTAACCATTTTAATTTTAATAAAAATGTTTTGTCTTATTACTATGATTGCAAAAATAATTAAAATACATTTCAAATGATGTATTGTATGACGAATAAAAGGAATATCTGACAGAACACGCGTTTAAAACTAATAAAATAATGAATATGTTCCTTTCATTTGCATCATACTGTAAGTATAACTGCTAAAATGTGTACACGTACCACTAATAAGTAGCCATTTTTGTTTTTCTGTAAAAGTTGAACCGCCTTCTCAGTCATATTGGACAGCGAGGGCATTCCTTGATCACTTCTGTCCCTTTCGTAATCGTATTTCAAGTGTCCGTTGGCAAATATACCTAAAAATAGATATCAAATTTCATATATCAGAATTCAGGAAGAACCCTTTATTTCAGCAATGCGAAATATATATGTTACTATAAGTCTTCAAATATGGCACATATTGAATTTCTTGGACAGCCACATCAATATTTTCAATTGAATATGTATATTGGATGATACATTAATAATGGGACAATGAATAACTGTAGAATCCTGTATGAAAATCTTTATTATAGATGTTTTTAAAGTCCGCAGGAACTACAGAACTGGAGTAATACTATTTATAGTGAATTTTGCACAATATACAGTGTTACAAAACGAAAGAAAAGGTATTATAGTATTAATCTTTTTTAGTATTGAAATACTCAGCTAAAAGAAATAAAATCTTACCCAATGTGTATTCCTTACTAAGATCTAAATTTTGCAGGTCCTTATTGTTGTTTAAAATTTGATAGGAATACTTATTGTTTTCTTTATCTTTTTTCCAATCTTCTATTAAGTCTCTACCGTCTTTACTGTAACATGACCATGTATCTACAGGATCTGCTGCTGAATCAGGTACTGATGATTGAAGACATTGTCTACCACCACCCATGATGACCTGTAATTCAATATTAAAAAAAGATAATAAAAACAGAAATTTAATGAAATTTATAATCTTAATACTATTTTAGACCAAGCAAATACCAAAAGATAGAAATGTACAAAAATTGAGAGAGGTTTCAGAATAGACACTCACTTGTATTTTCTTTCCAGGCATATTTTGTATAAGTTGCTTAGCTATATCCTCACATTTTGATCCAGATTGTGGAATTTTGCTTTCACATTCCCAATTTCTGTTAGGGGTGTGTGCATATAAAGCGCTTGGTGTCGCATGAGTTACTCTAGTGGTAGTCACAAATCCTAAAAGAAAATTATACTATAATCCAGAGTAGACTAAAATAAGCAATATACGTACCTGTGCCCTTTCCTGATTCTTGCGCCCATGACATAATACTATCTAGATGAGCTTCTGGTTTTAAGGAAGCTTCACAATCGTCTACGTCGACTGTAGCGTCAACTCCTGAAGTTTTGTGATTGGCTTTGACGCCGCTGAAGAGGGCGGTAGCAGTGCTACAGGAATCGGGAACCAGTTTATTAGCAGAATATACCTAGAATTATCTGACCATATAGCACTTTTTTATTTATTTAAATAGTAAGAATTTACAATTTGGATGACTTGGAGACTAATTTTAAAGTCCCACAAAAATATCCTTACTGATAATAGTTTTGTGGAATATAATTGTATGTTACCTTAAGTACACCGACGTTATTGAACTTTTCCCATGCTAAAAACCCGTTTTCTCCTTTGCCATATATTCTGGAACTAGTCATGGTTGTCATGCCCATACCGTCTGCTATAAATACTATTACATTTTTAGCTGTTCCTTCTATGACTCTTTGATTTAATGCTTCTGATATTTCATCAGCTCCTTCTTGTTTCCAATAACCTTGACCTATAGAAAGTTAAATTAAAATTAATACTAGCCGGTGATAAATAGGAATGACGGATATGTTATTACCACTATTAAGTGAGAGCATTTCGAAAATAACTTTTAAAACAACAAAAATTCTACAACCAATATAATGAAGATTTTTATTCTTATTATTTTATCTGCTAAGGATTTGGATTTCGAGAGCTAATATCTCAAAAGTACAAAGACTAGCCAGTGTTTGCATTACTGGTGTAATTAGAACCTATCCTACGGCCGCAATGGAGGTGATCTTAAACCTCGCCCCTTTACATTTGATGATAGAGAAGAAAGAATGGAGCCAAGAATCCATCGCGCTTGCAACCAAAAGACGTGCTATTCAGTGGTATACGGACGGTTCCAAAAACATAGAAGGAACTGGAATAGGAGTGTATGGGCCGAGAACCAAGCACTCCGAAAGCTTGGGAAAATACCCAAGCATCTTCCAGGCGGAAATTCACGCTATTGAGAAGTGTATCCAGTTCAACATCGAGAGAAACTATCATAAACAAGAGATTTTCATCATGTCCGATAGTCAAGCAGCCATCAAAGCGCTGAGTTCTTACGTAATCAGCTCAAAAATGGTCTGAAGATGCCTAGAACAATTGAATGAGCTAGGCGAGAAAAATAGAGTTACTCTCACTTGGGTCCCGGGACATGACGGGGTACAGGGTAACGAGATTGCAGATAGTCTTACAAGGAAAGGGGCTCAAACACCTTTTGTAGGATTTGAGCCGTTCTGCGGTATCAGCAGTAACATATTAGGAGATATTAAAAAAGAATTGGTCAGTAGAAGAACCGATAATTGGAACAATCTCTTGGGGCTGGGACAGGCCAAGATACTTCTGGGTGAATATAACCAGAAAAGATCGGAAGCCTGCATCTGCCTGAGCAAGAACAGGCTGCGTATTGTAACAGGAATTCTTACCGGGTATTGCCGACTAAAAAGACACCTAAGTAAACTAAGAGTAGTAGAGGATAGTGAGTGCATATTTTGTGACGAGGAGGACGAAACCTCCATTCACATCCTAACTGAATGTGTTGCACTTCAGAATCCAAGGGCACTATATTTAGGAGGATATCAAATAGAAGAGGGAGATTTACCTAACTTGGAGCCACTTCAAATCTTACACTTCCTTGAGAAAATAGGATTGGAAGGTTCTTTATAGGCATTGAGACATTTTCTTGGTGCATTGGCGACAGAAGGGGGCACAATAGATCTTTTAGGTCGCAGTGTATTAGCACCCCATTTCCAACATAACATAACATAAGGGTTTGGACGATGTATGTTCTTCTCCCAGGTGTAGAATTCGTTTTTATCTATGTCTATGTACAATTTTATCAAGGACCGATTTCATAATCAATATTAAAAGGTCCATTAACTAATGGTACTTTTAAGGCCATAATATCTAGGTCCCATCAGTTAATAGACCTTTTAATATTCATTATGAAATCGGCCCTTGATAAAATTATACATAGATTTCATGTTTGACTAGGATTAAAACTGAAAAATCTCGAAACTGGAATGTTCTAAAGAGATCAACTAGAAATCCCTTTTTTTAACAAATTTTGTGAGGAACAATTATTTATCTTAACTTTTATGATATATAGGGTGGATTAAAAGTGTTTTCTTAGCCCTCGATTTTAAGTTAAAATTTTTACTGTAAGAAAAGATATTTATAAAATTAAGTATTTATGAAATTCACTTTACCACCCTGTAGAATGAAAAGTTGAGCGTTAATAGTAAAATTATTTTTATCGTGAAAACCCCTGTACATAAATAAAACACAAATGTTCTCATTAAAGAGTTATTAATTTTTTGTCGAAGTAGTTTTTTTCAAATTGTTTTTAATGAAACTATTTTTTCTGCGATATATTTTGTTGAGAAGATACCTAACGCGCGCCTATGCGTGTTTAATTAGACTAAGAAGATAAAAACCACTGTCTCTGACGCCTTTGCAGTGTTGCCAACCTGTGAGAATTTTCCCATTCTATGGGAATTTTTACTACAAAAATATGCAATTGGGAAAATGAAAAGAAAAATAAAATAAACTTAAAAATATGGGAATTATGCTCAACCACGTTGATTTTAGTTGATCTTGTGCGTACTCACTACCCGTAAAAACTTAACCCCGTTGGACAGTATATATTTTTATTTGTATACCCAAATGGATTTAGCTATTCTACGCACGAAGATGCTATGACGATATTAAAAGTGTCTGCACTTTTGTATTACACTTTTACGTCATATTTCAAACTCGAGCTAGTGTAGCTAGTTAATTTTGATGATTATAAATGCAATTTTTTTAAAATAGCGTGATTTAAATCATATAAAAACATTTTCATTCCGTCAATCTTCAAATATAAAATTATTAACTTCATATTAAGCCAAATACGACTCTAAGTCGCCATTTTGATTACACTTTTCCATCACTCAAAGTGATATCGCAAAATAGTGTTTATGTCGTATCTACTCCATTCTATCTCGATGCGTTCAACTATACAGGGTGGCTCACGCTCAACGGGACGGAGCTTTATGGGAAAACGACCAAAGATATAAAAAATTCGTTTGGGAGGAATACGTAGGTTACAGACGGCTACAATTTAAAATTTGTTAGATGTATACAGGATGTCCCACATAAGAAAAAAAAAATTAGTTCATTAAAAATTATTCAAACAAGAGTAAACAATTAATTTCTGGGAGACTTTTTTTCCTTAAAAATTCAAATAAATCGAAAACTAATAATAATAGTAATAGGGAACCTTTAGTTAACTGACATTATTTTTGATGTAGTTTTTAATTTTAAAATAAAAAACAGGGTGCTCCATTAAAAATAATATAACTTTGTATATTTTCTCTTATGTGGGACATCCTGTATACATCTAACAAATTTTAAATTGTAGCCGTCTGTAACCTACGTATTCCTCCCAAACGAATTTTTTATATCTTTGGTCGTTTTCCCATAAAGCTCCGTCCCGTTGAGCGTGAGCCACCCTGTATAATAATAATACTCTCCCTAATTCACCCCCTTACTTGCCGTGGCGCTCCGGGGCGACTTAAAGATGATTGATGGTGCCATTTGACTTACAGGTGAGGAAAACCCGGAAAACCTCACCCACCATCATCGAGATGGTAATGTATGGCGATTTTTTATAATCTGCATGTCATATCAACAGAAATTGATTTTCTATTAATACGTCACACATCAAATCCTATACCGAGCCATGCAATTTAATTAAAAATCCACATGGTCTGGTCTGGGATTCGAAGCCCAGCAGTCTCTGACACATAAACTTGCTTATAAATGAATATAAGCGCGTTAGACCGCTACACCACCGACCCGCAACTAAACGGATATATTTCATATCCATTCTACGAACACTACACGAGTATGAAATCCACCAATTCCAGTTTATATTTGGTCAACAGGTTACTATTTTTTTAAATTTTTAATTAATTGACAATTCTGTCAGTATATATTTTAGTTATTGCGATTAAATATAATTAAAAATGTGTGATGAAGAATCGATAAATTATATAATTTCACAAGATATTCGTATAAAAATGAATCATAAATTTTAATAAAATTATATTAAATAAATTTAATTATGAATATTAAAACTAAAATGTTGGGTGGTAAATTTTTAAATTAGTTATTTTATCTTAATAACCTAAAATAATTTTTAAAATTTCTAGATTTTTGTTAGTGGGTCGCCTTCTTGTGACATGGCCATTATATCTATTCTTGTTGCCCAAACTACAATTATTTACATTTTTCTTATTAGAACATTCTTATTTTACAATTTCTTTACAAGAGTGTTTTTATTTTACCATTTTCCTTTATCAGAATAGCTACTTTTATTTTACTGCTTTTTTTTTTATTAAGTTATTTTTGTTATTTTCAAGTTTTTAATGTCTTTTAATAGCTCTTATGCAACCAGTTACAAAATGTCTTATTTTTATGTAATGCGTTAATATTTGCGGGACGAGCAGAGCGGCAACATTATGTAACTGGTTGCGTAAAGTAGATCATTGTGACACTTGCTGCGATTTCAAAAAATGCTACTTTGTATATCAAAATTAAAAAAAAAATACATTTTTATTAAACGAAATGGTCTTTTTTAATCATATTTCAAAAGAAAGCGAACATGGAAAAAAATGGGATTTTTTTGTGCATGTGTAGGGATTTCTGTTAAAATTGTTTGGCAACACTGCGCCTCTGTCTACTTAGCAGTGCCAAGGTAAAAGGTTTTGATGTTACATACAACATAACCTACAACGAAAGTATAACCTAGATTCGAAGCATGTTGTATAAAAATTAGCAATTTTAATATATATTAAGGAATTAAACTGAATGGAACTTTTAATCAACTAATTTTACTTTTACTTACCTTCTTTTGAGTTATATACAGGTACAGTTTGTAAAATAAACATTAGGATGACAAGTAATAAAATTATTGAGCACATTTTTAAACCGTTAAACTGTGATGAATCGTTATAACTAATACCTAACTAATCATCCGTTCGATAGATTAAAACATATTTTGTATTTTAATTGTTCGTTTAATATTGGTAATTACTGCATTAACCAAATGAATTGGTAGGTATTCTATTAGTGAATGACAATGATAAGTGATAAGTAAATTTTTATTGTTAACCTTTTATAAATATTGTGTTGCGTGTCGAGATTAAGGAATCTCAACATCTGACTGTGAATGATCAGATTTTTATCTGTACAGAATTTCAATTAATACCCAGTAAGGTAACTACACCAATAATTGACACGATCGGACACTGATATGTATTAAATAATTACTTTCACTATCAATAACTTTTTAATACAGGGAACAGACCAAACTCCATCAGGAGTGTATTATACACACGAAAATTATGTAAAAATATTCATACCTATGTTGTTTTTAGCTGATTTTTATTTGTTTTTAAGTTATGGGGTAAAACAAAAGTTAATGCATTGACATTGTTTTAATCACAGCGTTCTTTTAATAAATGTTTAATATCGATTACAGTATTTTGAATACATCGATTGTCCATTATTATAAAATAAAAATCGGATAAGAACATATAAGTTTTTTTAAACTATTTTCATGTGAAGAATCCGATTACAATATGAAAAACAACTATCAGTGGCGTAGCCAGGCTTTAGGGACGACGAGGACAAGATAAAACAGTTGGTAACATCATTGTTATAAAGAGTTTTATTGTAAACGGCGTTCTCTTACGGTCATAAATTAATCAACTATGACAGAGAGGTCCAAAAGACCCCGCACACCGCTTATGGACCTGTTAAATGTCATAAATTTTTGATATGTTACAATTCTCCACCTCATAAGCAATAGTGTCCATAGAACCATTCAAATCCAATGACTGGTTTTTGAGATACAGGGTGTTAAACTTAAACCACTTTTTTGATAAAGGTTATCTCAGGAAAAAGCTAATCTTTTATAATTTTTTGTGCTAAATCTTTACAGGGTGAGACACAAATAAATATGGAAATGTTTTTAATAATTACTTTTATTCTAGAAGGTGAAAATATTTACTAAAAAATAAAGTATTACTATATTTATCATGTCTAATGATAACACAAAAGCTATTAGGTGTCATTTATAAAGGATGATTCGTAAATATCGACATAGGCCAATATAGTTACGTGAGCGTATACAGCTGACATTCGGACTCCTTATCGTATCATATTATATTTCAGTGCTTAGCTTGTTATTTTAATCTTTTACATTAATTCTCTAGTTTATTAAATCAGATTTTGTCTAGCCTTTGCCAAGAAAAGACGTTTGTAATTTTAATCAATAAAATTGTTTTTAAAAAACCTGTATCAGTTTCAAAATATATATTTGGCGCAGTCAGTAGGATTCGCGAGGTCGCAGAAAAATTGTGAAAAATCGATTCTTACGAAAAAACAGTTATTTTTGGGACTTAGACGTTTCAACGTCGTAATCGTGAATTCAACGAACCTACCCTTCAGTGGTGACAAATTGGAGCTGATCCAGACGGCAGACAGAAGCTCAGGAGAGGAAAATGGTTCCCTAAACCATCGTGGTAAGTGCCAAGTTCCTTTTGCCTTCCTTAAATCCCTTTCGAGGACCAGGGAGATAGTAGTTAAGATATTTAAAGAAAAGTAATAGTTATTTACAGTATATTTTATGAGCGAATCTGATCTTTTAAATCTTTTTGATAACCTTAGTTTAAATACATCAGAAATTAAACTTATTTCTAGTACAGTCGCAAAGATGACACCAACACCGGAAAAACGTCCCATTAATTGGGAGCTTTTTCAATCTAAAATAGAAAATATTAGGCCATATGATGGCGATGTTAATACATTAAATAAATTTATTTCTCAATGCGAAAAATTAATGGCAACATATAGTAGTTATAATGATAGGGAATTAAGTGATCATATTTTCGATTGCATACAGGGTAAATTAATAGGAAAAGCCGAGTTTATGGTCGGAAATAGGGTGGAATTAACCGATTGGAATTTATTAAAAAATGCACTGAGGCAATGTTTCTCCGATAAACGTAATTTAGACTGTCTTATCCAAGAATTAACTAGGACCAAACCGTACAGGAATGAAAGTTTGATAGAATTTGGGACTCGATTGCAATTGTTGAGGAGTAGTATAGTACAGAGAATCAGTAATGATAACAATTTTAGTGCAAACGAAAGAATTTGTAATATGAACCACTGTGACAAAACCGCATTAAATACGTTTATTGCAGGGTGCACAGGTACATTGAAAAATAATATGCACCTGAAGCAACCCGCATCTTTAGAAGACGCTATAGCCTATGTTAACGAATATGAAAATTTTGAGAGTCTTTATACGTATCCTTGCGACTCAAAATTAAATACTCCGAAAAATAACTTTCAGTTTCAAAATTTTCCTAAAGCAAATAATAATAATAATTATCGACCAAATCCACAATTTAATTCACAATTTAACCCAAATTTTAATGCGACAAATCAACAATATTTTTCAAATTCAAACGCAAATCAATCCCAACAATCAAATTTTCAAAAACCTGTATAGTCGCGTCAACCTATAAATGTTCAACCACGCCCTCAGCATCGTAATTATCCAACAAACGCACAAGTTTTTGGACCCCCACGAAATGTGTTTAAACCCAATTCGATTCCACAGAATCAACTTCCCAAACCTCAACCAATGTCAATCACTTCGAGAATCCCATCAATGCATAGTAAAAGAACTTTTAACCCAAATAATAGGTCTAATAATTTTTTCCAAAATAATAATCAAAAGCGTAATTTTATATCTGAAGAACTATTTGTTAGTGACTACGGTGAAAATCAAATAGAAGCAGATAATTATGATAATTCATTTTTACAAATTGAAGAAAATAATCAGCTATTTGATAATGATTGTAATCCAAATTTTCAGAACCCAGCCTCGATAGAGAATCAGACTTAGTAGAATTAAACATAACTTCTAATAACCCTCTGCCATATATTGAAATTTATAACTCACCTTAAGAATGTTAATTGATACCGGAAGTACTAAATCCATTTTAAAACCCATTATTGCAGAAAAATTTTACCCAAACACGATTTATCATTCAAATGTATCTCTTTCAACATCTCTAGGTACTAAAAATATTAAATATCAAGCTGATATTCCAGCTTTCCGTGAATTTAACGATAATCATATATTGACTTGTATTCTTTATGATTTCCACGAATTCTTTGACGGGGTTATAGGTATTAATGCCCTTATTGCAATGAATTTTAATATAGATTTAAATAATAAACAATTAATTAGTGATCGCGTGAGAATTCCAATAAAATTTAGACAACCACATGATATAAAATATCAAATTTCGGTTGGTCCTTTTGAACGAATATTAAAACAAATCCCGGTAACTATTTTAAACGGCGATGTTTTAATTGATAAAACTCAATTAGGAGATATATATATATATATATATATATATATATATATATATATATATATATATATATATATATATATATATATATATATTCCAGAAACTCTAACTGAATCAAATAATGGGCTCGCTTTAGTCGAAGTCATTAATGAAACTGATAAAAATATATCTATCACTTTATTGAAACCAATTAAATCAAATCCTTATATATCAAGTCATTTTGAGACTTACAAATTTGAATGCTTTAATAATTCAATTGAAACTAAAATAAATAAAAACGATATCCAAAACCTATTAAGAATAGAGCATATGAACTCAGAAGAGAAAATTAATATTATTAAATTATGTCGCCAATTTCCAGAAATATTCTTGAAACCAGGTGACCCGCTTACTTTCACTTCCAAAGTAAGACATAAAATAAAAACTAAGGACGAAGAACCCGTACATGTGAAGTCCTATAGGTATCCGTACGCTCTTAAAGACGAGGTGCGTCGGCAAATCGATGAAATGTTAGAAAAGGGGATAATTAAACCCTCTTCTAGCCCATGGTCCTCTCCCATATGGATTGTACCAAAAAAGTTGGATGCGTCGGGGCGGCAAAAATGGCGTCTCGTCGTTGATTACAGGAAGCTAAATGAAAAAACAATTTCCGATAGATACCCAATACCTAATATTAATGAAATTTTAGATAAATTGGGGCGAGCGCAATATTTTAGTACGCTCGACCTCGCAAGTGGGTTCTATCAAATAGAGATGGGTGAATGCTCTATTGAAAAAACGGCGTTTAATGTCGATAACGGGCATTACGAGTTTTTACGGATGCCAATGGGGCTCCGAAATTCTCCGAGTACCTTCCAAAGAGTCATGGACGAGGTCTTAAAGGACCTTCAGAATAAAGCATGTCTTGTATACATGGATGATATAATTATCTTCAGCACGGGATTACAAGAACATATGCAAAATTTAAGATTAGTATTTTCAAAATTAAAAGAAGCGGGGTTAAAAATTCAGTTAGATAAGTGCGAGTTTCTGCGAAAAGAGGTAGAATTTTTGGGACACGTGGTAACGCCACAGGGTATTAAACCCAACCCAAATAAAGTTCATGCCATTAAGAATTTTCCAATTCCTAAAACGCAAAAACAAATAAAGTCCTTCCTTGGCCTCCTTGGCTACTATCGCAAGTTTATCCGAAATTTTGCGAAAATAACAAAACCCCTAACGATTTGTTTGAAAAAAGATAATAAAGTCGAACATACGAGGGAATTTGTTAATTGTTTTAATTATTGTAAAAATTTGTTAATATCGGAACCGATTTTAGCGTATCCGGATTTCGAAAAACCTTTCGAAATAATGACCGATGCATCGATGTATGCAATCGGAGCAGTTTTAACTCAAAATAATCACCCTATATGCTATGCCTCTAGAACGTTAAATTCGGCCGAAATAAATTATTCAGTAATCGAAAAAGAGTTACTTGCAGTAGTTTGGGGATGTAAATATTTTCGTCCTTACTTATTTGGCCGAACATTCGAAATTCTCACTGATCATAAGCCATTTGAGTGGTTGTTTTCCCTTAAAGAGCCAAACTCTCGCCTTATGCGCTGGCGCTTAAAGCTGGAAGAATTTGACTATAATATTAAATATCTAAAAGGAAAACTTAATTATGTAGCCGACGCCTTATCGAGGGCACCCCCTACACATGATTTAAACGCTCTAGAAACAGCATCTTTAGATGTTAATTTAGACGATTTAGATTTAATAATTCAAAAAGAATTTGAAGATATTAATGAGTTACCAAATTTATCGGTAAACGATATTAATGAAATAATAAAAGACACCCCTAAAGTAAAAATATTACAAAACGTTCAAATTAAACCACCAATAGAGAGACGACAAAGTACTGACTTAGAAACAGTACACACTTCCATTGAAAATCCAATTCT